ACTGTAAACAAACTGATTTCACTAACAAAATGATCTTTTATTTCTTTTTAGTTGACTATAAGTTGTGAAGCTCACTCCTTCCGAATTGTGGCCAATGGGATGCAGACCCATACTTACAAGTATCGTTTCAACCCCCTGCATGCCGTTACCGCCCTGGAGATTGACGGTGACATCAGCCTGACCTCTGTGATTGTGTAGAGATGCAGGACCCTGTTGCTGTTGGCAGCATTTTGCAACATTTTCCTAACTATAGCCACAGTAATTAGCCATTAATTGGAAATTTGTGCTAACTGCTTAATTTGATTATACAATGTACAAAGTATAATCAACATCTCTGCATTCATTTTATAATCGCCTGATTCTATAATATTGTATGCTCTATATTTCTGAAACATGGTCACTCTTGAAAGAAACAACCAGTATTGGTTATCAGGGACGCCTAATTTACACACATACATTCTGTCCATTGAAGGCAAAAAAGAGTAAACATTTTAAGCAAATGTAACACTGTCTAGTTGGAAGTTGGATTTGTCACCAGTATTGTAAACTCGACCCATGTTCAATCATTTTCTTAGTTGAGTTCAAAAGCTTTTACAGTCATTGGTCTGGTCCATCAAATAGGTGACACAGAAAGCTACACAAACACATCCACGATGGATGAATAACCGCTGCACCACTAAACTCAGGTGGTGCCTGAGTAGTTGATTTTATTCCCATTCTGTAATTTTTGTATTTTATTTCTTATCATTCTGCACTTAGATTATTACTAGCCAATCTCTATAATATTCTTTAATGGATTTCACATGAAAATGTAGGGTGGTCTTTTCTGTCTAAAACAACAGCTGCTTATAAGTTAATGTTTATCTCTATGACGTTTGTTGGCAAGCTGCCATTTTTCAATACTGTGCTTGACAGTTTCCCTGAGCCATATCCGACTTATCCAACTTATTTCAGTTACTTTTCCAACACTGCAAGGTTGAGCCTGAGCCTGAGCCTCTGTTAGTTTCTTTATTCCAGCTATAGAGTACATATAAGACCGACATAACCGCAGTAAGCAACAGGTTGGTGGTGTCTTATTATGAAGCTTTGTTGTTGTCATCTTGATATTTTAATGAATAAGGACAAAGAAATCTGTCAATATACCAGGTCATGGCATTTATGCAAGCCACCAGGCTGCTTTTTAAAGCCACTTTGTGGGCTAACCCACCGCTTTGAGGGCTGTCAAAACATTAGATATTGTATTGATCCCCATGATGCCACGTCATTAAGACTCTGATGTTGTTGGGAGTGCAGACTTTTGGTGGGAATTTGAATGCAGCCTTCAGCCTGATAATGTGAATTTCCACTGACAGTTATTAGATCGCTTTTACTTATATTTTCAACTTTAATATTTCTTTTATTACAAGCTGTGATGTGTGATGTAAGTGCTGCCTAAAAATAAATAAATGATTGCAATGAACACAACAGTTTGGGCTTTGGAGTTAATTTATGTAAGAATAAATATGATCTTGTCTCTTTCTCAACAATTTGACTTTACAGGTACTGGAACCACATAGTAACCTTCCATCATGGCCACCAGAGAGTGCTATAAGGCTGTAGTAAATTGAAATCAGTGTCATGAGACACTGATACAGAGATATGTCATTATATTGCCTGCAGTTTGAAGATAATGTATATATTCAAGATTCAAGACCATTATTAATCCTATGCAAGCACAACAGAAATTCAGTCATGCTAGTATTACATGGTGCACAACATTAAAACACATAAATATCAAGTGACACATAGTCACAGATAATCTCAAACTGGTATCCTAAACATAGTGCTGTACTCCGATGATTTAATCTTTGTGACATGATCCATTATCCTGCAGGAAGCAGCCATCAGCAAGAGATCGACATGATCAGCAACAATACACAAGCGGGCTGTGACATTTAAGTTATGTTGAGCTGGTGCCCAGAAAATATTCCCACATCATTACACCACAAGCAGCGGGCTGAACAACTGATACAAGGGACAATGGATCCATGCTTTTAATGTTGTTTATTCTGACCCTGCCATCCAGCTGTAGCAGTAGAAATCAAGACTCATCAGACATTGCTGTCAAAGTGTGTGAACTGTTGCTTCAGTTGTCTGTTTTTGTGATGGCTGCATGCAACCACACAATTGAGATACTTAGGTAATATTCATTTGGTCTTTTGTCTTACGTTTACGTTATGCTCTAAAGCTTCTGTGATCATAAGTTAACTAATTTGATATTTTGAGTTTACCTGTAATGCATGACAGCACTAAGCTATAGCCCAAATGGTGGCATAGACTTT